GGGACCCAGACGGGCGGCTCTGGTCATTCTGCGGACGACACCGGTGGGGACCACAGTGGGTGTGCCTTACGCTGTGCTTACCAGGCCGGGACCCAGACGGGCGGCTCTGGTCATTCTGCCAGTGAATAAATAAATAAAACTCGAAACCTTCTTGGACTTCTTGATGTGGCCCGTGTTGCCTGCCTTAACGCTCAGAAGCTGGGAAGTTGGACAAGAGGAAGCGAATTCCCCAGAAGTAAAGGGGAGAAGACTCCGAGTGTCCCGCGGAAGCCGGGCCATCCTGCGCTGGACGGGGCCCGCAGGGGCCGGCCCGCTGGACTGTGCGGCGTGTTGTCTTGTGTCTGGGTTCTTTCACTTACTGCCATCCCTGTGGGACCCTGCCCGTCGCGGCGGGTGTCGGTGGGAGGCGGGGCCCGTGCCTTGTCCCCGCGGCCGGTCGAGCGGGCACGGGGCTGCGGTCGCTCACTCCCTAGTTGATGGGCCCCTGGCTCGGAGTCAGTTTGTAGCTGTTTTGAATAAAGCTGCAGGAGACTCTCGTACAGATCGAGTGGACAGTCCCACTCGGGGAGCATGGCTTCCGTGTTATCCGGAAGCGTGGCCACGCCGAGGCCAGCCTGGTTCCCCTGTGGTGTCTTCCAGGAGCCGGAGAGTTGTGTGTTTTCCGTTCCGGGCTGATCTCTGTGGAGGGCGTGAGGTCAGGGGTGAGGTCTGTGTCCAGGTGGCGTTTGGCTGTGCATGTCCGGTGGTCCCTGCAGCATGGAGAGAGACACTGTCTGCCCCGCTGTGTCGCTGTTCCTGTCCGAGACCCACGGCCGGGTTTATGGAGGCCCCTCTGTCCCGCCGGCCATTCTTCTGTCCTCTGGCCGAGCACGCTGTGTGGTCACCGGCTTAGGGGAGGTCCTGAAGTCGGGCGCATCGTCTTCCAGCTTTGTTCTCCTCCAGCACCGTGCGTGTTGGCTGTTCGGGGTCTTTGCCTCCAGATGAACTTGAGAATAACGTGTGACCGGCCCTGGGCAGCCCGAGGACCCGGCAAGTGGACACAGCTGAGCGGCATGTGCCTCGGCCTCGGGACTGTGGCTGTCAGCTGTGCTGAGTGGGACGTGCCCTTGTGCAGGTCTCCTGGGGCCTTGGCGTGCGGCCCTCTTCCAGGGCAGGGTGACCGTCAGGATGGCACACCTGTGTCGGGGAGCCCAGCCCCTGCCGGCTGCCACGGGCCACCTGTCTTCCCCAGATTTTGCCAGCTGTTGGTGTGAAGGCTCCTTCAGATGGGCAGCCTTATGTGGGCAGCCAGCGTTGGGGGGCCTGCTTCCCGGGGCTGCGCGCGTCTGCCCTGCCGCGTGGTGTGCGTGACCGCCCCACCCCACCCGAGAAACCGCTCTGCCTGCTGAGTCGGCTCTCTGGTCGAAATCTAAGCAGATTCTTTGGTCAGAAGCGTTGACCAGTGCAGAGCCTGGCGGGAAACCAGCCCCGAGGATGAAACCCGTGCTGAGGTCAGCCCGAGGCCGTGCCGGAGGCCGGAGGGGAGTCCGGTCAGATTGGGGGCTTTGTTGACTGCTTTTGGAATAGTGGGCGGTTTGTGTTGGAATTCAGGCCCTTTGTTGGATGAAAAGTGACTGTACGAGGTCAGTCTTGACCCCAGCGCTTTAGGGCTGTTCTCACCTGGCCTCCCTGCCGTGCCCTCCCCCAGAAGGCAGCCAGGTGTACCCCAAAGCCCCGGCTTGAGCTGCCTGGGCACCTTCCTGGCTGTCCCCTCTTAAAAAGGAAGGCTTGTTGGCGACGTATGGTCATCGCTTCTCCTTCTCTGCAGTTCTGGGGAACTGAACCTGGGGCCCACGCACCTTTGGGTCACCGCCACAGCTGCTGGTTATGTGGCGTGTTTGAGGTCAGAAGTGACCACGCGATGGACCGCCCTTTTCCTTGATGTTAAAAACGAACCGTGGCCTCAGCTCAGCCTTGGTTTGGAAGGCCTGGAGAGGCTGCCCAAAGCAAACCTGGCTCCTGGCAGGACTGCGGGGCAGGCCCGGGCTCCCAGGACAGCCCCACGCTGCGCACCAGACACACCGTGTGGGCAGGGCGGAGGGGAGGGCCTGTCTGGTGCTCGTGTCCCCCCTGCCAGATTGTTAGAACTGTACACGGTTTGCTTGATAAGCAGATTTCAGGGGCATCTGCCTGGGAGCTTTTGCCCCAGGTTGTGGGGGGTGTGGCTTCAGCAGCAGGGCCGAGTTTAACCTCTTACAACTCTCTACCCTATTAAGGTCTTTATTTATTTTTTAACTCTTTTTGTTCGTTCAACTGTATCTGTTGGAAATTTTTCCAAATCCCCTATTATAGTTCTAATTTATACCCCTCCCCTCTTTTTTTACTGAAAAAAACATATAACACGATATATACCCCCTTAGCCACAGTTCTGGGGCACAAGCACACTCACGGTGTTGTACAGTCATCCCCACCAGTGTCTCCAGAACTGTCCATCTTCCCAGACTGAGACCCCCATGAACACTCACTGCCCCACCCTGCCCTGCCCCCACGCTCCGCTTCCTGTGTCCGAGCTCGAAGGTCTTCATGAGTGGAATCAGACCACGTGTCCTTTCTGGTCCATCTCCACTGAGCACAGTGGCCTCAGGTTCGTCCTTGCGGCAGTAGGTGTCAGAACGTCCTTGTGGTTTTGTTTCTGTTTCTGTTTTTTTTTTATTTTTTTCTTTATTGATTTTAGAGAAAGAGGATGGGAGAGAGATATAGAAACAGCGATGAGAGAGAACATCGATTGGCTGCCTCCTGCACGCCCCCCACTGGGGATCGGGCCCACACCCTGGGCATGTGCCCTGACCGGGAATCAAACTGGTGACCTCTTGGTGCAGGGTCGACGCTCAACCACTGAGCCGCACCGGCTGGGCCGTCCTTGCGTTTTAAGGCTGAGTGACAGTCCAGTGTCGGGATGGACACCTGGCTGCTTCCCTGTTTTAGCAGTTGTGAGAAGCTGCTGTGTACACGGTGTGTGGACATCTCTTGGAGACCCTGTTTTCAGGGTCTAGGCCCAGAAGTGGAGTTGCTGGGTCACGTGGTCACCCTGTGCCGCCTTTTTGAGGAACCTCCCCCCTGCTTTCCACACGCTGACCTCCCCTCCGACAGTGCACAGGGGTCCCGATTTCCCCACGGCCTCACTGATACTCATTCTTTGCTCTAAAAAAAAATAGGGCCTTGGCCAGTGTGGCTTAGTGGTTGGAGAATCGGCCCAACAACCAAAGGATCACAGGTTCCAGTCCCACTCAAGGGCACGTACCTGGGTTGCAGGTTCAGTTCCTGGCCCCAGTCGGGGCACCTGTGGGAGGCAACCAATTGATGTGTCTCTTGTCAATGTTTCTCTTTTTCTGTCTCTGTCTCTCCTCCCTCTCTCCCTTCCATTCTCTCTAAAAACCAATGGAAAAATATCTTCGGTGAGATTAACAACAACAACAACAAGATAGGAATCATCTTAATAGGTGTGCGGGGGCGTCGCGTGGTTTTGATTTGCATTTTCCTCATGTCTGGTGACGTTGAGCATCTTCCCATGTGCTCGTTGGCCATGCGTGTGTCTCTGGAGAAATGTCTATTCGAGGCCTTTGCCCGTCTTGAACTGGGTGGTCTGCATTTTTCCTTGAGTTTTACGAGTTTTTCTGTACACTCTGGATGTTCATCCCTTTTAGACGTACGGTTGCAAACACTGCCTCCCGTCTGTGGGAGTCTTTTCGCTCTGTCAGCAGTGTCTTTTGATGCAGGAGTTTTCATTGGTCAGATGTTGCTAATGCTGACTCCCCCCAGCGGTGATGCAGCTGGGTGAGCACGCAGCTCGGCCAACCAGCGAGGTCCCCTGAGCCTCGGTCCAGGGCCTTCACTGGGGCAGCATCACCAGACGTGGTTGACTCCCGCGTGGTTGACCTCAGTCTCCAGCCCCTCCAGAGACCCAGCTGATTCCATGTGACCCAGAGCCCCCCTAAACCACATTGGTAGACCATCTGGCATGATCCAAGGCTCCTGTCAGCTCAGAGAGCCCCTCCCAGGAGCCAGTGGCAGGGAGACCTCTCTGTGCAAGGACACGGCCACCCCTCCCGTCCCTTGGCTGGGCGCTTCTTGGGACCCGGCATTCTTTCCTGGGCTGCAGGCTGCTCAGGGCCGGTGGCCTCTGCAGCGCCTGGCTGGGCCCTGTGGCATACAGCAGGGACCCAGGGGACTGATGCCGGTCCTCCAGCCCTGGAGTCCCAGACTCTCCTCCTTGCAGGGCCTTGCGTGTGTCTGTTCTTCTTAGCTGTGGGGGGCGGGTCTCGGCAACGCTGCGTCTGGCTGGACTGGAACTGTAACAGGAAGGGCATCTAGGTATTGCTGTCACCTCTGCGAGCCAGCATCCCCACCGGGGACCCCAACAACTTGATCAGCGTCCTCCAGCCCAGCAGTTGGCCAGGCGCACTGGGTCCCCTTCCCTGCAGAGTCCCAGGACCTGGAATGGACCTGGGACGGAACTGGCGCCGGTCATCTGTCCACTTTCACTCCCTCTGCTGACTCTTCCCGAGCCCAGGGACAGTGTGTGCCAGCCACACCCAGGGCCTCTGTCCCTTGTTTATTTGGGTTAAGTGGACATGGCCAAAGGGTTTGGGGGAGGGGTGTCTTCACTTATCCGAACTGTGGCAGCCCTGCTCAGGGACCTGGTTGCCTGTCCCCTGTGCTCTGACCCTCGGGGTGCTCTTCACAGGGGCCTGTCCCGCTCCGTGGCCACTCTATGCCTCTCCTGGGGCAGAGGGTCACTAGTCCCATCAGTCACACTTGCCCTTTTGGGCCCTGGCCAGCAGCATTAGTCACATGACCCAGAGGAGCCAAAGCGCCTGAGGACGCCCACCCAGACCCAGCTCACGGAGGCTGGAGGGGGAGGGAGGTGGCCGGCCAGCCGGCCACGTGGGAGGAGCACCCAGCGTCAGCCAGCACCCTCCCCTCGGACCCTGAGCCTGACTCGCTCTCCGTTGCCTTCACAGGTCCCCGAGCGCGGCGCCCAGCCTCCATGACGCGCAAGTGAGCGGTCCAGGCGCAAGGGCCCCGCCGGCTGGGGCAGGATGACCAAGTCCCGGCTTTTCCGCCTGTGGCTGGTCCTGGGCTCGGTGTTCACCGTCCTCCTCATCATCGCCTACTGGGACAGCGTGGGCACCGCCCACTCCTACCTGCGCACCCCCTTCTCCAGGCCGCAGCCCCTGGAGCCCCGCCCCAGCCCGGCCGACAAGGAGGGCGAGGCCAGCGTGGACGACTTTTTGGAGAAGCTGCTGGGCGCCAGCACGAAGAACATCGTTCCCGGGAGAAAGACGGAGCAGCCCCCGCCGGCCTCCAGCAGGCCCGCGCCGGGCAGCATGGAGGAGAGCGTGAGGGGCTACGACTGGTCCAGCCGCGACGCCCCGCAGGGCCCCGACCTCGCCGGGCGGCAGGCGGAGCGCAGGAGCGTGCTGCGGGACTTCTGCGCCAACGCCAGCTTCGTGTTCCCCGCCAAGGAGCGCTCCTTCGACGACATCCCCAACTACGAGCTGAACCACCTCATCGTGGACGACCGCCACGGGGTCATCTACTGCTACGTGCCCAAGGTGGCCTGCACCAACTGGAAGCGCGTGATGATCGTGCTCAGCCAGAGCCTGCTGGACCGGGGCGCCCCGTACCGCGACCCCCTGGACATCCCGCGCGAGCACGTGCACAACTCCAGCACCCACCTGACCTTCAACAAGTTCTGGCGCCGCTACGGGAAGCTCTCCCGCCACCTCATGAAGGTCAAGCTGCAGAAGTACACCAAGTTCCTGTTCGTGCGGGACCCCTTCGTGCGCCTCATCTCGGCCTTCCGCAGCAAGTTCGAGCTGGAGAACGAGGACTTCTACCGGAGGTTCGCCGTCCCCATGCTCCGGACCTACGCCAACCGCACCAGCCTGCCCGCGTCCGTCAGCGAGGCCTTCGGCGCCGGCCTCAAGGTCTCCTTCCGCAACTTCATCCAGTACCTGCTGGACCCGCGCACCGAGAAGCTGGCGCCCTTCAACGAGCACTGGCGGCAGGTGCACCGGCTCTGCCACCCCTGCCAGATCGAGTACGACTTCGTGGGCAAGCTGGAGACGCTGGACCAGGACGCCGCGCAGCTGCTGCGGCTGCTCAAGGTGGACCAGCGGCTGCACTTCCCGCCCAGCTACCGGAACCGGACCGCCAGCAGCTGGGAGGAGGACTGGTTCGCCAGGATCCCGCTGGCCTGGCGGCGGCAGCTCTACAAGCTCTACGAAGCGGACTTCGTGCTCTTCGGCTACCCCAAGCCCGAGAACCTGCTCAGAGACTGAGGGTCCAGGCCGCCGGACTCCCCGCCCTCGCCCGCGGCGGGCCGCTGCGCCCCAGCAGCGCGTGGGGACGGAGCCGTGGCGGCCACACTGTCTTACGCCTCTGCCCCTCCCGGCCTGCGTGTGGCGGGCAGTCCTGTCTGGGGCCGCTGAGCGCCCTGGGCCGGCCCCACCCACACTCTCGTTTTTAAAGGGACGATTTTGCGATCGGGCTTACTGTTCCCTCGGCTGCCCATACGCGTTCAGTGCTGTGTTAATATTGTTTTTTTAAGATTAATATATTTCCGATATTTAATATGAGACGGGAGGAGGAATGATGGAGTAAACCGTACTCTGCTCGTGCCGCCTGCTGTGTGGTCACTCGGGGGCAGTGAGGTGTCGCAGGAGGGCTCGGCGCCTTGGCCCGGGGGCGTTCACTCGCAGAAACACCCCTGAGGGAAGGGAGATGCCTGGTTGTCCTTAGCACAGAGGAGGACCCACAGTGTGGAATCAGGCCTCACCTGCACTGTGCCAGGGAAGCAGACAGGTCCTTCAGGGGTGCGTGCTCCGGCCTGGTGGTGTGGCTCAGTGGTGAGCGTCGACCCCTGCACCAAGAGGTCGCAGGTTCGATTCCCGGTCAGGGCACATGCCCAGGTGGTGGGCCCGGTCCCCAGTAGGGGGCGTGCTGGAGGCGGCCAATCGATGTCTTCTCTCATCGATGTTTCTATCTCCCTCTCCCTCTCCCTTCCTCTTTCTCTAAAATCAATAAAGAAAAAAATTTTTTTTTTTTTTAAAAGTACATGCACTGCCCTGGCCAGTTTGGCTCAGCGGTTAGACCCTCAGCCGTGGAACAATGAGTCTTGGGTTTGATTCCGGTCAAGGACACGTACCCGGTTTGTCCCCGGCCCTGGTCAGGGTCGTGCAGGAGGCAGCGATCCATGTGTCTCTTTCATGATGTTTCTCTCTCCCCCTCCCTCCCTCCTGCTCTATCCGAAGATAAATAGAAAAATATCCTCAGGTAAGGATTAAAAATAAAAAGAGTGTGCTGTGTTTTTAGGGAGTCTCCAGAGGGTAGGCGGTTCGATCAGGGTGTTGGCTCTGAGCTCAGGTGAAGGAAGCCAAGCTCCGGTCCCGGCCCCAGCAGGAGTTAGCTCTAGCGCCGGTTCGATCAGGGTGTTGGCTCTGAGCTCAGGTGAAGGAAGCCGTGCTCCGGCCCGGCCCCAGCAGGAGTTAGCTCTAGCGCCACCTTTTGTGTCTGATCGCGAGGGAGGATTTGCAGTCGGGGGAAGGGTGTCTGAGCCTCTGCTCCTAGTTCTTTTGGGCACAGACCCAGTAGTGGGATTGCCAGGTCCTATCTGACCTGGTCACTTTATAAACTGAGTCACTGTGGGGACACCACCGACCTCACTGGTACCTTTGTCTCGCAAATCGTGTAAGATCGACTAGCGCCAGAGGCGAGTGGAGAGCAGGTCCTGGGAGAGCCAGATCCCCCGGGGACCGTGTCCGACCTTGGCGTGTGTGGAGTGCACTGTGGACTGCAGTTGTGTTATGTTTCTGAGTAGCTGGTGTCCTTCAAACCAGGCACCCGTTCACGGTAGGCGACGTCAGGATGCTGAAATCCCTCTTCAGCCGCCGTGGATGCGGCTCCCGACAGCTGCCTCTGTCGGTAGTTTCTCACTGAAATGGGTTGGTTTCAACAATGTCCAGACAGACGTCGAAACTCACTGGGTTGTGGGCTCACGGAAGGCAGGGCCCTGTGTCCTTTGTGTCTTCGCCCTTGGTTCTGGGGGAGCCCTCGGCCGCTGGCTGGGGCCTGTGCCCGAGAACCCCTTCCTCTTCCTGCTGGCTCCTGACCCACAGGATGACGTCTTGGGGAGAACTTGGCCACGTGTTCTTTCTCTGCTAAGACACCATCACATTTTTAAAATTGGTATTGTGCAGTTAGATAATTTAAGCAAATAATTCCATATACTTAAAATATTCGAACTGTTTGCCTCTGCCCTCCATTCCTTGTCAGCACATTTACCCACAGTCTTTTTTTTTTTTTTAAATAATCCTCACCCAAGGATACTTTTCCATTTATCTTCAGATAGAATGGGGGCAGAGGGAGGGAGAGAAACATCAATGTGAGAGAGACACATCACCAGGGCTAGGGACTGAACCACACAACTAGGGTACGTGCCCTTGACCAGAAATCAACCTGCTACTCTTTGGTCCACTGGCCGATGCTCTAACCGCTGAGCCAAACTGGCCAGGGCTCTCCACAGTGTTAACAACACCATGGTTTGTGCTACAAAATCCTCTCGCATGTCATTGCTGAGCCCCCCGCATGGTCACCAGGGCACTGTGCCTGCCACAGCCAGGGAGGGGGTGTGGCTGTGTGGTGCTGAGCCTGCCCTGGACTTGGGGTGGTGTTTGACACCTCCCCCTGGTATTTAGCACAGTTGTGGTTGCGTGTGTGTGTTAGAGACACTGATAGTCCTCTTTCCTCTCAAAATGTCTGATACAGTTTCTCATGAGTTGAAAACAGTGTATCTACCTTTTATTTTCCTTTATTGATTTTAGAGAGAGGAAGGGAGAGGGAGAGAGAGAGAAACATAGATGAGAGAGAACATTGACTGGCTGCCTCCTGCACGCCCCCCACTGGCGATCGGGCCCACAACCTGGGCATGTGCCCCGACCGGGAATCAAACCAGTGACCTCTTGGTGCATTAGTCGATGCTCAACCACTGAGCCGCACCGGCCGGGCATAAGAATTAATTTTTTTGTTGTTATTGATCCTCACTTGAGGATATTTTTTCCCATTGACTTTTATAGAGATAGTGGAAGTGAAGGAGGAGAAAAGGAGAGAGAAGCATGTCTCAACTTTTTAATGCATTGATATGTAACGTTGACTTTTTTCTGCATTAATACAGTGTCTCTACTTTTATTTTTTTATCCTCACCCGAGGACATTTTTTTGCATTTATCTTCAGATAAAGCAGGAGGGAAAGAGGGAGGAAGAGAGAGAGAGACAAAGACAGCAATGTGAGAGACACACATCGACTGGTTGCCACCCACACGACCCCAGCTGGGGCCAGGGAAAATCTGCAACTGTGCCCTTAGCGGGAACCAAACCCAGGACTCTGGTCCGCTGGCCAAGGCTCTAACAGCCAAACCAGCCAGGGCATAGTGTATCTACTTGTAATGTGTTGATATAGTGTATCTAATTTTAATGCATTGATATAGAGTATTTACTTTTTTGTGTTGATACGGTGTATCTACTTTTATGAAAAAAAATTTTTTTTTCTTTATTGATTTTTTAGAAATAAAGGAATAGGGAGAGAGAGAGAAATATCAATGAGAGAGAACATCGATTGGTTGCCTCCTGCATGTCCCCCATTGGAGATTGGGCCCACAACCTGGGCATGTGCCCTGACCGGGAATCAAACCAGTGACCTCTTGATGCATGGGTGGATGCTCAACCTCTGAGCCACACCAACCGGGCCAGTGTATCTACTTTTAACGTTTTGATACAGAGTATCTAATTTTTTCTGCATTGATACACTGTATCCACTCAACTTCTAATGACTATTTTGGTGTTGTTCCCCGTGGTGCCTTCATCATCTGTTTTGAAGGAACTTGCACTCTGATGAGCTTTGTTTGCAGCAAGGTTAGTATCTCCTTTTCTCTCCGCAGTGCGGTTAGCGTGCCCTGTGCACTAGCACCCACAGTCTGATTGGTGAGGGCGGGGCTTTCACCGGGCTCTGCACTCATCGGCAGTTAGAGGATTTGCCCCACCCCGCCCGCCATCCCTGGAGCAGGGCTGCCCTGAGGCTGCTCAGCTGGGAGCACAGGGCTGAGGGTGAGGGCAGGCGTTGGGGAGAGCCGGCAGGAGCTGTGAGGAGCGTGGCCGTCTCACCTGCCCGTCCAGGAAGCTCCGTCTTAAAACGTGCACGGAGCCCACTGAGGTTCCAGGACTGTGCCCGTGGGTTTCATTATAGTGGAGTCTGCAGACATGGACAGGGGACCCCCGTTATGATTTGAGTCTCCTTCCCCTTGTCCCAGGCGGAGGCAGGGCCTGGCACACCTGGGGTACAAGGTAACTATTGTGGGAGCAAAGGAACGGAGGAAAGAAGGGGCGATGCCATCAGAGCCTCATCCTGGGCCTGTGAGCCAGGACGGTTGCACCTTCTCCCACGTGTTTAACATGGTGACCCAGGCTTGGAGGTTCAGGGGGGGCCCCGGGGTTGGGGGGCTTCGAGCTCTCCCCCTGGGACCTCTGGCACGTTCTAATCCTGGTGTTGTCGGTGGCTTGTGAGGGCCACTTGCTATTCCTGGGGAAGCTAATGTCTACTTCTGTTCCAGAGGAGTCTTTCGTTCCCTTCCTGGGTCCCCCCATCCCTTTGAAAGCTGCTGTGGCCGCCTCTGCTCCTCCCAGGGTGGAGACTCTGTTCTGCTCACCATCCCCTGTGGCTCTCTGGAGGAAGGCGGATTTCTGGTGGGACTTCCTCCTGGTCATGTGCCCTCCCCACTTGGACGGGAGAGCTGCTCAGAGGGGCGCGGCCACTGTTGGCAGACAGCTGGGGACGGTCTGTTCTCCTCGGCAGCCCCGCCCTGCCAAGTAACAGGCTCCCAGATGTCACGCAGCCTGGGGTGGTCCACTGCCCCGAGCGAATGCTCCAGGAGTTTGCTCATTTATTTTCAAGCTCCGTGTCCTCTTCTGCCCACCCCACAAATGCCCAAAGCTAAAAATACGAAGAGGTACATCTTGGCTGGCCTCGACGTCATCAACCTAAGAACGTTCCAGTGTTTCTCCAGAAGGGGAAGTTTGGAGCGTTGACTGGCGCCAACCGCTGCTTTTGCCGACACCATTTATCCCCCCTGCTGGGCACTTTCTGTCCCTCCTGGCCCAGGAGAGCTGGCAGGGCGTCACGCCCCCCCACAGCTCTGGTCTGGGCGGTCACACGCCTGTCCAGGCAGGGCTCACACCGTCTGCACCACCGGACCCCGTGCCCTCCGCTGCAAGTCTGGGGCAGGAGCTGGGCGTGCTCTGGTCAGCCCTGCC